GGGATTATTAGGCTCACACTTCCACATTGAGCTCCATTACGAAGGGAGTCAGGACAGGAAGTCAAACTACTACTGCCACTCTCTATGAACCTTTGGGGGCCTATTTTTATTCCATCCACCACGACTGGCTAGTCCTGACATTCTGTTTTAGCTTCAAAGCCATGAATCCAGGTTAGCCCTGGAAGTCTAAAGGAAGTCCTTAGACGACTTAGTGTGGAAGTGTGTGTCGGTCCCTTCATCACTAACACTATGTGAAAGGAAGGACTATGTATCACAGCTTCCCCATGTTAAGATGTAAGACTTCCTGTAAAGCATAATTGGCAGGATTTTCTTGAAGCGCATTAAGAGAAAGTTAGTACCTTTTGATAAAGCATGTCTATTTTATAGATTCTTTCATCTTTAATTCTTTTAATGTACTCTCTGTTACCTGATTTTTCTTTTTTTGTCAGTAGAATGGGTCCTGAGTCATACCTCTAACCCATTCTCAACTGCCCAAATGATTATAAGATCACAAAGACATAAGACTGCACTTCCTAGGGAAAGGGACAAGATCTCCTGAGAAAACTGGGATCGGGGTGGGGAGTAGGAGAAAGGAGGGGAGAAGAGGAGGGGGAGGAGAACATGAGAGATTAGGAAGATTGAATTGGGGGTAAGAATAGAAGAGACAAGAAAATAGATACCTTAATAGAGGGAGTCATTATAGATTTAAAGAGAAATCTAGCACTAGGGCAATGTCCAGACATCCACAAGGATGTCTCCAACTAAGAATCTAAGCAATAGTAGAGAGACTACCCTATAATGAGATTGATGAGAGACTTCATCCAGTAGCTGATGGAAGCAGAAGCAGATGCCCATAGCTAAGCTCTGAGTTGAACTCCTGGAATCCAGTTGTAGAGAGGGAGGAGTGATGAACAAAGGGGTCAAGACCATGCTGGGAAAACCCACAGAAACAACTGACCTGAGCAAGTGGGAGCTCATGGACCCCAGACTGACATCTGGGGAATCAGCAGAGGGCCAAACCAGGTCCCCTGAATGTGGGTGTCAGTTGGGAGGCTTGGGTAATCTATATGTCCTCTGACAGTGGAACCAGTATTTATCCCTAGTGCAGGAATGGACTTTGGGAGCTCATTCCCTATGGTAGGATACTCTCTCACCCTAAATACACAGAATGGACCTAGGCCCTGACCAAAATGATGTGACAGACTTTGATGATCCCCCATGGGAGGCCTCACCCTCACAGACTAGTAGAAGGGGGTTAGAATGGGGGGGTCGGTGGGGAACATGGGAGGATGAGAGGAACTGGGATTGATATGTAAAATAAGATAGTTTCTACTGTAAATAAAAATTTATAAAAAATCAAATGTCAATCTAGATTAAAATCTGATTTTTATCAAGACAAAACAAAACCCTTCCCTTATAAAATAATCTAAATGGATCTGCCAATAAGCCAGACAAGCAAAAGCCTCGCAGCAAAGCTCTGACTTCAACATGCAGAGTATACCTAAAGGCAAATTAAAAAGCTGGGAGGGAAGCTAGGTGTGGTTGCACATGCCTTTAATCCTAGCACCCACTCGGGAGGGCAGCGAGAGGCAGGTGGAGTTCTCTGAATCAAAGCCTTCCTGGTCTACAAGGAGAATTCCAGACCAGCCAGGTCTACATACTGAGACCCTGGCTCAAAAACCCAAGTCCCCAAACAAGCAAACAAAGCCCAAAGATGAAAAGCTAGGAGGAATCATCACCTGCTTAGTGAGCTATGTCCCCGCACACCTCAGAAAGCTCCTTTCCTTAACAGCTGCCACCACATCTTCCTAGTAAGGGAGCCTGCTTTTTTTTTCTTTTTTCTTCTCAGAGATCTAACTTAAAAACTTAACTTTTTACGGTTCTGCCTTTAGTTTTGTGATACCAGTCCAAATCCTAACCCTCTTTGCCTGTCCTTTGTGAGACTGTATCACTTCATCCAGTTGACTTGAAGCTGTTTTGGATGTTGGATCACCTGGGCCATGGTTCCTATCAGAGACCTTTCAGAAAGTCTTACTTGATCAAGCCACATTAGCCTGGAAGGAATCCACAGCTTCTCATCTTCTGTGGAAACAAAAGCAGAACCTCTTTTCCAAAGCAACATATCCTTACACCCGAATTTTGAAGTCAAGATGCCTTTAAAATATATATGTTGGTTTAGTTTAGCAGCTCCCACAATTGAATGCCCCTCTGCAGTTGGCTCATTAACAATCAAAAATTTTAAAGAAAACACAATAGTATACATAATCCAGACTCTGTGTGTTTTCCATCTTTACATGGCCCATTAGAGTTTTTTAAACTCTATTTCTCCTTTAAGGACTTCAGTTTATTATCTTTAAATTACTCTTTTTATCTATGACTCTGTCTATCTTATATACTCTCTCTCCCAAGCCCAGGCACATTTATCAAACACACTCTGATCTGTTTAGCAGGTGTAATATAACCTGAGTAAACAGGAAGTACAGAGCTAACAACTTCTAAAACTATAGAATGACAGTCAGCTGGCTGCCTGGGCAGTCACCCAAGATTCCTCTGCAACGTTGGGTATGGTGACATATTATTTATGTCTTATTAAAGCTCGCCTAAGGGTACAGAAAGCAAAGCTAGCCACAAGCCACAGAGCCAGGCAGTGATGAAACGCACCTTTAACCCCAGGACTTGGAGACAGAGGCATTTCAGGGCCCATGAAGATGGCGCTGCTTCATCTTGGCTCAACGTCAGAGAGTTCATTACCGTCCTTAGTAGTCATAAGACCTAAAGGTCCAAGGCGTGACTACAGTAGGATGTTTGATCTTGGCCTTGTGTGTCTTATCTAAATAACAACAGACTTGGTGAGAGATGTGGTTACTCTTGACCCTCACGGCCAGATAACGAGAAATTAAGTGTAAGGTGTGGTTACCAAATGCTTGGAGAATTAAGGAAGAAAGTCTGTTTCATACACATGATACCATGTTCCCCTTTTTGGTTAAGGATTTAACAATGGTGAAGAATAAACTTGGGGCATTCAGTATTCACTGGATTGCCCTTCTGACTCTATCCTGTCTCTGTCTTCCTCTTAGCATCTTTACCTGCCCTTTCGATCCACACTCCCCTCTCAGGTACGAACCAGGCAAGTGAGCTGGATCTAACTGAAGATTCACGGGATGGGTTCCCACAAATTAGTAGACAAATGCCTTTCCCCTGCCATGGCCTAGCTTGACTAGGTTGTAAAGTTAGCATTTTCATAGGTTCTCCCAAGTCCTCATCGGAATAAACTGGTTACCCAATTCCTCACCTTCATGGTTAATGGCCATCTTCAGGCAATGGAGGATGTATTTAAAGGATGCTGAGGGAATCCTTACTGGTGGTGCATTCAATTTTGCCTACTTGGGGGAAAATCTTTTTTACCAATTTTAAGTTTTGATCATCCAGTTTATATTCATTCAATGAATTACCATTTCTTCCTCATGACTAATATCCTCCTTATCTTCCAAATCCTGTTATATTTAATTTTTACTGGGTGTTTCATCAATCATAAAAATGATGCTAATCCTGATTGTGTTGAGACTACAGGTGAAAACAGTACTAAGCCCTCAGACCCCTACCTTACCGTATTAGTTAATGTTCTCTCGGAGGATTGAACCTATCAGGATGAGTAAATATATGAGACTATATTACATCAGCTGTACTAAAACACTAACAACAGTTGTCTCAGAGCTGGGAGGCCAAGAACTTGGTGGTTGCTCAGGGTTTGAGTCTGGAGTCTCGGCAATTAGAATAGCTCCACAGTGTCTGTCTCTCACTGAGGAGGCCGACAGCGTGGTAGTGGTCAGTCCCAATCTGGTGCTGAAACCCTGGGAGATTCCTGGAGAGTCGCTCACTGGCCCTTGGTCTACAGACAAGTCAGGAAACACTGCTTAGGCCAGCAATGAAGGAAGCAGGGGCCAGAACTCTAGGTAAAACAACTTAGCAGCTAGCGGGAGGCCTCCTGAGCAAAAGCAAGAAAGGAGCAGAAGGTGAACAATTGTCCCTTTACCCTGCTCCTTTCCAGAACACTTTTAAAGAAGAACTGTTTGTGGTTTGCAGTATGTGAGAGAGTGTTTTGCACTCGAGTATGTATTGCACCACAAGTATGCCTGGAGGTTAAAAGGGAATCAGATCCCTGGAACTGGAGTTGTGGACAGTCATGAACCTTCACATGGGTCCTGGAAACCAAACCTGTGCCCTCGGCAATAGCAACCGCTGAGCCATCTCTCCAGCCTCTGCCCAGCCTTTTTTTTACCTGGTTGCTGCCAGAAGACTCAGCCCACATTCACAGTAGGCTTTCTCTCTTCAGTGAAGGCAGTCAGGACAATTCTTCAGGTGACACCCCTTAATCAGGTGATCCTCATTTTAGGAAAGGTGACACTAAAGCCGGTTATAATTATTTAAAAAATTATTCGGGATGTGTGTGCCTGTATTTAAATTCTTCTACTCTAAATTAGAGTGCCTATCTCCATTTATCTTTGCTTTTTAAAAACATACTCTGCTTTCAATTATTATAATATTATACATAATCCATCTATGCTACATCTGTAGCTGAGGCTCCTCCAAGCCTAAGTCTTAAATATGGGCTGCTGGCATGCCAGGTGTAGGAATCCTATCTCTCCAGCTGCACTCTCAGATTAAAGGACTCTCATACTTTTTCTAACTCTAGGCAAAATACCGTTTGTGTATTCCTGATAATTCTTTTAATGTCTCTCTCACTACACAGGTTTTCTGTAACCCTTGATAATAGGTTTCTCTGTTGGCACGGTAGGCCAGATCAAGCTGAGTTGAAAAAGTGAAAGAACTGGTTTATTTGATCAAAACAACTCCTGGTGAATTCTCCAGTCCCAGAGACTGAGGTAGGAGAAGGCACACACCTGAATTAAAGCAGGGAGGCTATGTAGCCTGTCGTGAAGGTGATGACGTGTCCCCCACAGGCTGGGTTTGTGCCCAAGTATGGTCAAAAACTGACTGCTTTAGGTGGGAACTCGGGCTGCTGGCAACTTCAGGGAAGGAGCTGTCGTAGCTGCCAAGATTTTGGAACTGGGTACCTTTTCTTTGCTGGAGACTCTCTGAGAGGACGGGATCTGGAGAGAGACAGAAATGGGGCTTCTCACACCATGCAGGAGAGAGCTGGAGGTTCCAACAGAAGACGTACTCTCTAAGATCTACAAAATCAGACTAAGACCACTCCAAGCCTCACCGTCTCATCATTGATCTTTGTCTAGCTGTTCCTGTGACCATCTAATTCCACGTGACCGGGTCCCCTTGATTGCTATCCAATGCATGAGTCAACAAGAGTGGCAACCCTGAGTCTTCCTGTGCCCTCTCTTCCACTGGAAACTGCCACCGAGACTAGATAACTGTCTCTACACACTTTTAATTTCAACTATTGAGCTCACTCGTTCTCTGAAGCCCCAGCACTATCAGCCATGTGGCCGATTGCTGGCCTCCACTGTTGGCCAGTGTGCTTTTCTGACCCCTAACTTAAAGGTCATGGGTCTAGGATAGCCAGGGTTACACAGAAAAACCCTATCTTGGAAGAAAAAAATAGGTAATTTGCATTTTCATAACTAAAACAACTTGTTTTTCTGCATTCCTGCCTTCCCTGTCCTTTGACTCCCAGTAAGGGATCTCAGTAGATGTTTATCATCACCTGCCATTCTTTAACACACCACTGCTGAGGTTTCCTGGAAGAAAAATGAGTCACAGAGGTGGACAAACTTGGTTTCAACAGACTGAGACTGCTTTGTTGGAACAGTGAGGGACCTTTCCATGGGATGAAGATTGGGCACATATAAAGGGGCTGGGGACAGGTATACACACACACACACACACACACACACACACACACACACACACACATACAGAGCTACCAGGAAGTTAGAGCTATTTTTTTGTGGTTTGACTAGAAACAGGGTGGATTGTTCTTGATACCTCCGATACCCAGACATATTGCTTCTGTACATGGGTCAGATCTGTCCAGATGATGCCAAGCAATTCTTCATGGCTAGGGGTATTGCTGAAACAGCCTGACTCAGTTTCTAATGATCTGAAGCTCACCCTAGCAATGACAGCCATTGTTAGCATCTTCAGCATTTCTGGGGTCCTCCGGCAGCACACATGGCCATCAGCATTTCATTTCTGGGTTCGGCTGGGCATGCACCATCAGCATTCAGACAAAATGCCCAGTCATCCCAGGGCCTTATGTAATCTATGTGCACGCACGGCGTGGCTATGTAATCTGTGCACATGCATGGTGTTGCTATGTAAGCCCCCATCTGCACATGCTGAGCGACCTTTAAAAGCAGACATGCTGCCCCCACTCCCTCTCTTTCCACAAGTTCCCTCCAGACAGTCCTGCGCACACCCCCTCTTCCCTTTCCCCACTCTTTACTAATAAAGCTTTTAAAAAGGGTTTTATTGTTTATCTTGTGGTCTTTTTGCACGCACAGTAACTATCAACCACGTCCCCCAAATGGGAACTGTTGTATCTTTCCACCCACCCACGTTCTGCTCCAAGTACCTCAGACTGCAAACAGAGAGCTGATTCTTTTATCAGAGTCCCCTTTCAGATTCTTCTTCTGAAAAAACAAACAATCAAAGAAACATAAACCCTGTTCTGTCCTGAAGCCTTTTCCTTGCCTGGGGCTGGAGAGATGGTTCAGGGTTCAAGAGCATCAGCTGCTCTCCACAGGGTTAACTTTGACTCAGGACCACGTGGAACTCCAGGTCAGGGAGTCTAATAATGTCTTCTGCATTCCCTGGCATTCACACATACATAGCAAGTACTCATGAACTAAAATTGAAAAATCTTTTTTTTAAGTTCCTGGAATAAATGATTTCAGTAGCTGTGTTGGTTCTTCCTCTCTACTCAGAAGCAACTTGCTGTAAGTGGCTGACACTCAAATTGTGTCTTTTCTCTTAGTGTTAATCCCATCAGTTGAGAATAAGACTACCACCACAATCTTAAGACATATTTTGAAGCCAACTTTAATTAAGTACTGGCCAGGAGAATGGGCTCGGGTCAGGACCACTCCAGGGATCTCAGGAAATGGCCACAAGTCATTTTGCAGGGGCTTAAAAAGGCAAAACCACAATTCACCATATTTCCTGTCAGGTCCAATTAGTGGAAGCATGCACCCCAATTGATTTCCTGCCCGCTTACTTCCTGCCTACCTGTGATCAAGCACATCCGGGGCAGATGGTTCAAACAAACACAGGACAGACAAGAACGCATTCTTAACCATCCTAATTACAAACAGACCTAGTAACCTGAAAGATATATTTCTCCTGCTTCCTCTCACACTAGCTATGGCTTGCCAAATTTGTTACCAAGTTGTTAGGGCTGCCCATGCTTTGACCCTAGTAACTTTTGTAACATTATTTGATCTGAGTCAAGTGTTCATATTTAAAAAGATCCAAGCTTTCCACCACCTTCCTAAAAGAATTTTTCATTATTCAGTATTACTTGTATTGCAAAATTCTAGTTTTCACATGGGCAAATGATTATGTTAGACACTCCAGTAGGAGCTTCATTTCTGGGTACATCTAATTTAAGCCCAAACTCTTAGAGCTTAAAAAAAAAAAGAAAAAGAAACTTCCTACTGAGAAATAAATAATAGTTTGGTCCAATAGACTGTGTTACTATTTTACTATTGCTATTTAAAATGTCCATATGCAACAAATGAAAGCCTCAGGGAGCCCATGACATACTCATAATTCTAAGTAATTTAAAGTGACTTTAACTCCATTGGTTCTTACTAGAAATATGTGTAGATTTGGATTGACTCTTTTAAATCTAACAACAAAACCAATCTCCAGTGACAACATTCATGATGCTTTCTACCTTATGAGTTCATGATCATTGATTAAATGAGTATTTAAAGTATGTTATAGTAGTTAGCTTACATTAAAAAAATAATAAGCAAGGGCTGGGACTTCTGATTGCTACTCTTGGTTGTCAATTTGACTACTACATCTGGAATTATCTGATACACAAATGGCTGGATATATCTGTGTCTTGGTTAGGGTTTCTATTGCTGTGAAGAGACACCATGACCACTGCAACCCTTATAAGGAAAACATTTAATTGGAGTGGCAGCTCACAGCTGAGATGCTCAGTTATCATCACGGTGGTGGTGGGGGAACATGACAGGCAGACACGGTGCTGGCTACTTTGTGATCAGAAGGCAAACAGGAAATGGGCTACGATGCTGAGCAAAGCGTAAGCAAAAGAGACCTTAAACCCCGCCCCCACAGTGACACACTTCCTCCAACAAGGCCACACCTCATAATAGTGCTACTTCCCTCTGGGTTTGGGGCAGCCAATCACATTCAAACTATCATAACCTGTAAAGGATTTTTTTCTCAATTAAATCTTTTTTCTGAATTAAATCATTTGAAGTGAAAATATTTACTTTTTGAATTAATCATTTTTTTATTTTATGTGAATTGGAATTTTGCCTGCATATATGTCTGTGTGAGGGTGTAGGATTCTCTGGTTCTGGAGTTACAGACTGTCAAGAGCTGCTGTGTGTGTGCTGGGAATTGAACCTGGGTCCTCCGAAAGCGCAACCGGTGCTCTTAACATCTGAGCCATCTCTCCAGCCTCAGAAGTGCAATTTTCATTGCATAAATATCCTCTGGTCCAGATGCAGTTCTTTTCTGGAAGGTAGAGTCTATTGTCTCAGAATCATGAATCAGTTCTCACTGATTCAATTACAGTTTCAGTCATAGTTTCAATTAAAGCAGCAATTTCCTTGAACTGTCTGTAGAAATTCTGAAACTGTGGAATTGTCATTTCGATGGACTTGCTGTTTACCTGGCTAATATGATCTGCCACTTTTAGCGTCACTGCCACATATAGATAGATACTTGAGGAATCTGAAGCTGTACGAGCTCATAGTCATGCCAGTTTCCACAGAAGACCTGTACGTTGGCAGGTGACCTTGGATTTGATGTTTAGCACTGATTCCCTTAATGGAGACTCCTCCATGACAAGAGTGGGATTCCATTTAATCCAGATCTTTTGAGGAGGGGAAACCCACCTCTAACCTGGGCCACACCTTCTGCCAGCAGCCCCACAAAGACAGTGGGGGATGACGGAAGCTAGCTTTTTACCTGCTTGTTTTTGCTCTCGCTGGCCAAGTCCATTCTTTCACCAGCATTAAGCCTACATCTTCAGGGTTCTGACCAGCTGAGACATCCAGCCTTGTGGACTGAACAACTCCTGGATTCTTGGACCTTCCATTAGTAGACAGATATTGTGGATTAGCCTGTAAAACCCACATATATATGTATATACACAAATGTATATGTATATGTATATGTATATGTATATGTATATGTATATGACTGTAGCTTGGGTGATAGAGTCCTCACTTAGCATCCACAAAACCATGGTTTCAATCCACAGAAACACATGAATCTATCTTGGTGGCACATGCCTATAATCCCAGGACTTGGGAGGAGGAAACAGGAGAATTTCAAGGCCACTCTGAGTACAAAGGAAGTTGGAAGTCAACCTGGGCTGCATGAAAGCTGTGACTCTAAAACAAACTCATTAAAAGATCTCCTGATAAAAAGTAAGTGGGCAATATTACCAGGAGACTCATGATTCTCTTTCTGACTGTGGAAAAGTATGTAAGGCTTGGTTGCACTCAACAAAGTCTATGGAACCTGATTCCTCATGTCTGACCTTTGTTTCTGTCCTTTCCAGTAATAACATTTGAAAAGACATTTTGTTAGAAGGAAATTTTAAATGATGCTCTGTTGTTATCTGATTTCTTCTATAGTTTAAATTCTCATTTACTTTTCTAGACTAAAATCTAATGGAATACCAAAGTAACAGAACAAATAAAATTGTCACAAGTTGACCCCCCTCCAACCTCTGCCCTCTTCTTGAGGTGAGTGTGGGCTCTTCTCTGCGTCCAACTCCCTCTAGCCACTCCTCCTTAAATCTTTCTGGGCCTGCCCAAGCAGGAATGACCACCCAGAGTCTGACCACACCCCACTCTTTGCTCCCCCTCCACCCTCCACCCTCTGCTTGAGTAAGGAGAACACCAGGAGAGGCCAGACCATCTACAATTGCAGACACTGAAGTCTTGACCCACATACACCACCCAGAGACCAGAGGAGATGAAGAGACCCCACCTACACACACTAGAAGAAGGGATGGGAAGATAACAGTATAAGAACACACTCAGCAATAGAGAGACCAATATGACACCACCAGAATCTAAAGACTCCACACCAGGAAGACCTGAAAAGCCCAACACAGATGAAGCAGAAGAGATGGACCTTAAAAATTATTTCATGAAGATCCTAGAGAAACTTGAAGAGGAAACAAGAAAATCCCTTAAAGAAATAGAAGAAAAAAATACATGAAATGGAGGAAAAGACAAACCAAAGAATTCAAGAAATATACAGATTTCTTAAAGAACCTAAAGAGAGCCAAGAAAAAACAACCTAACAAGTGAAGGAAACAGCTCAAACAGTTGAAGGCTTGAAACCTAAAATAGAAACAATAAAGAAAACAAAGAATGAGGGGAGCTGGAAATAGAAAAGCTGGGTAAACCATCAGGAACTACAGATGAAAGTAGAACCAATAGAATGCACAAGATCGAAGAGAGAATCTCAGGTGTTGATGACTTACTAGAGGAAATACAGTCATTGACCAAAGAAAATCTCAAGTTCAACAAATCCCTAACACAAAATATGCAGGAAATATGGGACACCATGAAAAAGCCAAACCTAAGTATAATAGGTATAGAAGGAAGTGAAGAACTATAGCTCAAAGGTGCAGAAAACATATTCAACAAAATCATAGAAGAAAACTTCCCTAACCTAAAGAAGGATATGCCTATGAAAGCACAAGAAGCTTTCAGAACACCAAATAGACTGGACCACAAAAAGAAGTCCCCTAACTATATAATAATCAAAACAATAAACTTACAGAATAGAGAAAAAATATTAAGAGCAGCAAAAGAAAAAGGCCAAGTAACTTGCAAAGTCAGACCCATCCGAATTACACCCGACTTCTCAATGAAAAGTATGAAAGCCAGAGGTTCCTGGATACATGTTCTACAAACACTAAGGGAACATGGATGTCAGCCCAAACTACTGTACTCAGAAAAGCTTTCAATCACTATACATGGAGAAAACAAGATATTCCATGACAAAACAAGATTCAAACAATACATATCCATAAATTCAGCCCTACGGAAAGTACTGGAAGGAAAACTGGAAGAATAAAGATGCCTTCTTTTACCACCGACTGGTCCCTGTGCCACCAATCCCAACACCATCTGCAGATTCTCGGTCCCAGGCTGTGTGGGCGTGGCAAATAAGAATGCTTGTAAGATAAATTTTTTTTAAAAAATTGAAAAAAAATTTAAATTGTCATGAACAATAAATATTTCAAAAACATTTTGACAACATTTCTATTTAGCAAAAAAATATATATATAGTATGCACCCTGCATACATGTCCTTAGGGCCCATGCCTTCTCAAGCCAGGGGCTTTTGACCTGGTTTACAGGTCAAATTCTTTCCTGTGGAGGGGGCCTCAGATTCAGTTAGAAAGTGGTTACCCAAATATATAAACAAATAGATAAACAAACAAACAAATAAATAAATAGTGCCACTATTGCACCAGTGAATACGTCTGTCAGTCAGTGCTGTAGCATTTAAGGTCCAACAATTCGATCAAAGTGTTTTAAATGTGCCTTGATTTATGGCTTTGCTGTATTAATACAAAAACCATATGATGCTTTTACCATATTGGAACATAGTATTGGGGGCAAAGTAACCCTGTGTTTCCCAGGCCAGGATCACTCATATTTGCCTCCAGAATAAACTCTTTGAAGACAGAGCTGTGCCTCTACATCAGCACCATCCTGTGCAGCGGGAAATGATAGGACAGATAAGTCACTCTTACACGATGGAAGGACACATCTGTATGCCTGCCAGAGTGTAAAAAGTATTCCGCACATGACATGCATTGTCCTCGGCTCGGCATGCACATAACGCCAATGGCTTATTTGTTCTGGGTTAACTGTTGTAGATGATGCCTTGGGAATAGGACAAGATTCAAGGAAGGTTTCCTGCCTCCCCCTGTGTGAGGACAGGTGATTAGACTCCACCATCATCAGGCTTCACAAATGCCTTTACCTGCTAAGTTATCCCACCAGCCCTGAAATATCGTGGTTTAAAAGCCCCATGTAGTTTAGTAAGAGATAACTCTACGGTAAATATTTCAAGTTTATTTCTTAAATTTATGAAAATATTTTAATGCTAATTTGGCCATTTGCATTTATGTGTTAGTTATAATCAACATAGAAGATATTGTACAACCTTAGTCTGACACATGCAGAGTTTTAAAAGTTAATTTCCAATCTATTTACAGAATTTTGTGGCACAGAGATGTGAGAGATTCATCAATAGCAGACATTCAATCGCATAAAAGAAACATCCTAGAATTAAGGTTGGCAGTGGAAGTAGAATGCACATACAAGTTCAAGGAGAAAGAAGTTGCGCGAAACTTTCAGATGTTAAGCATCTGCTGGTATTTCTCATGGATGCTGGTAGCTTTCAAAGAGCTATTGTATTGTTTATGTTTAATTCATCTAAAAAAGGACATTTTAGTATAAATTCTCAGCAGTTATTGCATATCACAAATTGTAGTCACACAAAATTGTTCTGAAAATTGTAGTCAACTTAAAATTGTGTAATATATTTTGAAAGTTGTTCTGGGGATGCATGGGCAAAGAAATTTGAAGGCTAACAGCATATATTTTTGTTCAAGTTATGTGAATTTTTTTAAAGGTAGTGAGTGTAGTTAACTGTTGAGTCTTGTTGCACCATGCTAGAGGTCAGGCAGAAGTTTAAAGAATGAGGAAGACACAAGCCAGAAGCTGAGTCCTTCGCTTCTGCTTCCTGTGTACTCGGCTCTCTTCCATAAACAGTTGTAAGGGAGACGGGACCTGCCAATCACATTCTGATAGAGAGTGTGCTGTAGAAAATGCAGCGAGACCAACAGGAGCTCGATACCTAAACCAGCCTTTACCTACCTTTCTTATCTACCTACCTATTTGTCTGTCTGCTGATGGCTAGATTGCTATTAAATATATTGCAATTAAATAAACTCCTCTTTGGAGACAATGCTCAGAAGAGCAGAGCGAAATGCAGGCTGTTCAGTAGATTCGATGTTGGTGCCTGCGGGAGCGAGGTGGAAAAGCGAAGCCCACGTCATGTGGAAATAGGCTTTCATTCCTGTTGATGGTCTCTTGCATGACGAAATGTGTCTAACCAAAGAAGTCTAGTGACATAGCTACCTATTAGGACCCTGTACCCATGATGCCACCATGATGCCACCCCGTGTAAAGGTCTGCTCCCCTGCGGAAAGTTTGGGCACTCAATCGTGGTAGGGTGGGTCTTTGTGAGAGAAAATCCCGGGTGGAGATCACAGGTGTACCATCTCTGCAAGCAGCTGTTGAACTTGTTAGAGAACTAAAAACCCACACAGCAGCAAAGGGAAAAGGATAAGTGGCTTCCACAGAAACAGTTTCTTGAACATGTGGTTGGTTATTAAAAGCCTCCCTATCTCCCATTTGGTGAATCAGCCAGCCTTGCAATAAGACCAAAATTAGCCATGGAAGTTGAAGAAGGTAAGAACTGGATTGGACAGGTGGCTTACTGGGTTAACAGCACTTGTTGCACAAACATGAGGGCATGGGTTCAAATCCTTAGTACCTTTGTGAACAAAATGGTCACATGTACCTGTGGTCCCTGTGCTAAGAAGTGAAAACACATATATCGAAAAAATTAGAATTTTAGTTTTCTAGTCACTGTTAAGTAGCTATTCCAAATTAAAACACCCCTGTTGGAAGTAGGAGGGAGTCTTGTAAGATAGGCAGCTAAGGAAGTAAGGCCTAGGAATCTCAGACGGTCACAATACTGGAGAGGCTGCTTCCTAACGTTACATAAGCAGTGAACA